ACCATCAACACCGAGTCAAGAAGGTGATACAAAACAAATTAAAACAACAACAGTTACAACAAAACGATATGAAATAAAACGACGTCATTCAAGTCATCGTACAAGTGATGATGATAATAACGATGATGATGATGATGATGGTGGTGCTGCTGTTATTTTTATTGATGATGAATCAAAATCATCTAATTTTGAAGATAATTTTGAATTAAAACGTGAAAAACGTCATTCATCAACTGATGATCATTTACCTAAAGTACCTGAACAACGTCCATCCTTTGGTCAAGTTACTTCACGTATACGTATTGAACAATTACGTGATATAAATCGTCATGTTGTTCGTCGTCATTTACAAGAAAATGATTATAATGAAGATGAACATCGTTCATCAGAAGTTTATGAAATTCATACACGTGGTGCATGTAAATGTCTTGTTGTATCGTATGAAGAAAAAACTCAATATGGTAATGAAACACGTTTTGAAAAACAACTTCAACGTATTGAACGTACATATACAGATGAAGAATTAAAAGTAACTGAATTACATGTTATTGTTACAACATCTGATCAAAATTATCAATTAGTTAAACGTGATTATAGTTCAATTAAACAAAATAATATTGAAAAAGAAAAAGAAAATATTTATGATAAATCAAGACAACCATCTATATCAATACATTATTATACTAAAGATGGACAACGTATTAAAACTGAACATAATAGACGTCTTGAACATTTACCATTAGTTATACGATGTGAAATTGAATATGAACTTAATCATTATGGTATGTACTTTTTCTATTCTATTAAATCCTTTCCACAGAATATAATCTTAAAAATGTAATAGAAGTCCACTGTATCCAACCGAGTGCCATATAGCAAAGTAAATTATAAAAATAGATTAGTTCATTGTTTTTTACTGTTTATTATAACTTCTTTGTTGTATCTAATTTCGTTTGTTCTATATGTTTTTCTTCTATTAGCGAACAAACGAGTTTGTTTCGTGAGCCAAAAAAAAAATATCTACTTATGGACATTAATGAGAAATTGCTGTTAAGGAACTGATGCATAGGAAATAGGCATGATTTATACCTTTCTCTTATGAGATTATATAAAGTCTAGATATCAAATGAGAGTGTGTATACTCTCCACATCGTTTAAAGTCGTAGTACTGAGCAAAATGAAGCTACTATTACGACATAAATTCACTCTCTCAGGATGTGCTACATGATTTGACGATAATACAGTAAATAATTATATGAAATTATCTTTAGGTCTAAGAAAAACAGCAATAATTTGTGAAATAATACAATGACAAAAGAAAACTTTTTGACCGTGTATTATTGCTGAGTGTGTTTCTCACAAGGGAAAAATCATATTTGAATCATAACTTCAACATATATGAGCCAGTGAAAAGTTGATTGACGTTTGAAATTAAGGGCACTTCTTGCGCACAGGAATTCAAAATATCAGCTGAATATTATAAATAATAGATGAACTTCAGAGTGAACAGCTACTTTTGTTCAGAACTATACAACTCTTAACAATAACAAAAAAGTTCAACAATTATAAATGTGCAATTGTTTAGAGAGATTTTCACGATTGATTTGTGAAAATTTCATTGTTATTTATTGAAATACATAGTTATTGAAGAGATTTTGTTTGTCACTGATAAACAGAAATAGAATGTGATTTGAGTTGCAAAACGTGAAGTAAAAATAAGTAGACAAAGTCGTCGCGAGACGAAAAAGATCGGGACAGGCTTCGAGGGAAGAACAGTTTGATGGTAGGCCGTCTGCTGTGTAGGAGTAGGGCTGCAAAGGATTTCGTTCTTCCCGACTCTCTCTCTCCCTTAGTATCCTGAGCACTTCACCAACACCACAGACTGTGATAGATATTGGTGTGTGATATAGGATCAAAGATCGTATGTCAATAGTGTATTTTTATAATATCTTATTGAACTTCTGGAGGATTACGTAAGAGAATCGTGAAGAAATGTGTCCCACAATAGATAGAATGAAACAATGACTATGTAATTAGAAACAATAGCTACATCGTATTTCACATTTTACTTCTTTACAAATTCTGCTAACAATTTTTCATAAGATAAAATAGTTAAAAGATATCTAATTCAAATAGAATTAAACATTAATTTTAATAAGACTTATAATATATAATATATTTTGTTTTTTATTTCTTTAGGTAATTCTCAATTAATAATATTATCTGTAACAGAAAATGAACGTCGTCAAATGAATACATCTCTTAAAAACGAATTAGTCGATGAAATAGTATCACGTTCAGGTGGTCGTTTCTCTACAAATAGTTCCGAATTAGAAAAAGAAATAACTCGACAATTAGCTGAACCAACAAGTCTTTTACATCTTGTTGATTATTCTTCACGTGATGATTATAATCAAACAAATTCAACTGATTTACGTCGTGTATCACGTATTGATGTAACAACATCATTACGTATTGTACAACGTTACCGTACATTAATTCATCATCTTTGTCAATTATATCGTACACATTTACATTTAACACATCAAAGTGCACAACAACGTTATTTAATATTAGTTGCATGTGATGAATATTATTTATTAGATTTAACATCACCAACACCAACAATACCAACAAATATATCAGATATTCGACAACGACAACATGATATATTTAAACGAGAAGTTAGTAATGTTATTCAACAACAACAACAACCACACCAACCATTTGATTATGCTAAATATCGTCGTGATATTGAACAACAAAATCGTTTTTTGGAACAACAACAACATCAACAAAAACAAAACGAACGAAAAGAAAAACATCAACAAGCATATAAAGGTCCACCACCACCTGGACATCCATCCGAAGCTGAATTTTATCTTGGTTAGTTTATAAAAAAGAAAAGTATCGAATCATTTTTGTTTTTTTTTTGTTTTATTTAAATTAGGTAGTGAACGTCGTGCATTAATTGAACGTGAAATTCATTCAATGCGTGAATCAATACGTCCACATGAACATGCACCACCACATTATAAACATGAACCATCACGTCGTTCATTATCAATAAGTTATGCAGGTGGACAACGTTATATACGTGCACGTATTATTCATGTTAAAGATTTTTATGATGACAATCAACAACGTCAACAAAAACTACCACGAAAAACTAAAGAACAAGAATTATTTGTTCGTATTGATGATTATATTAATCAACCGGCAGCTAATTCATTACGTCGTTCATATTCAACAGATTATTTACAAGAAGATGGGCCACGTTCAAGAATTAGTTATATACGTATACCAGGAGAAACAATTAAAATTGAAGAAAAAACAACTTATGAATATAAAGGAGTTATGTATGCAAATTTACCTTATTCATTAAAATATTGGAATATACTTTATATACTTGATCGTGAAGCTCGTCAAGGTCGTCCACTTGGTTCAACACTTCCACATATTATTGTTAATGATCCATATAATCAAGTAATACCACCATTAACACAACAAGAAATTCGTCAAACTGCTCAACAAATTCTTTCACCACAATATCATGGAAAATCAAATACAGATCAAACATTACGTTGGTTTTTATCTCGTGATAATCGTACTGAAATTGAATCAGCTAAACGTTTACAAACACTTGATCAATATCGTACACAACAACAACAACAACAACAACAACAACAACATAGAAAAAGTAATGTTTCTATTCATAGTAACGAACAACAAGGAACAACAAATAAATATTATACTACTGAAAATCTTATTCGTTATGAAAAAATGCCCGATCGAATTATACCAATATCAACTAATAATCGAGCACAATCAACACAAAATGTTCATCATCGTTCACCATCAAATCCTCTTATACTCCAACCTCCTAATCTTTCTCAGAATAATATACAACGTCCTCAATCTCGATCACAATCCCATTATCAATCTTCAATATTTTCTCATGGTTCTAATTGTCAAACACCAACACAACATCAACAACAACAACAGCAACGAATACAATTACAATCTATGAATTCACCATTATCTCGACATCAATCAGTACATGAATTACATGCTACTTCAGCTTTTTCTCATCCACCTTCACCATCACCATCATTTCATAGTTTACATAGCAATCAACATAATTATCCTAATCGACGACCAGTATCATATAATACTCGATTTCCATTACAGCCCCAACAACCTCAACAACGAAATGCTATATTAACAGAAATAATTGACAGTCAAACTGGTCGACATTTTTCAACGACCAGTCAAGAGCAATTACCTACTGAAGTACTTGGTCTTTTAAATAAATATAATTTACAAAAATTTTAATAAATTCTTTTTGTTTTCTTGTATTTATTTCAAAATAAAAAATAAATCTCATATCAATCATTTAGAGAGCAAAACAACACAACCCATGTCATGAAATAATTCACTTTCATTGAACAAACATTTTTAATCACATCTTCTAATGAATTTTGACTCTTATATATGTATAATTACCTCTTGATTAAAAGAAAAAACATATTCTGATCGCATTCTTTTTCTTCGTTTTCATTTCACATTTCTTTTGTTATTTATTATGTTTGTTCATTTTTTTTCTTTTTGGCCAATTTTTTTTTTATTATTCGATGAATATTATATTAAAGAATGTTCTTTTTTTTTTTTTTAAAGAAACCAAATAAATATATATATTTAATCAGATTTTAGATGAATTATATATACATGTTACATATTGAAAACAAAAGAAAAAAAATTACATAGCAAAGAAAAACAATCAGTGCGATAAATAACAAGACATTGTTGTCATCCAAAAACATGTTTTCTTATTGATATAAGTTCATTTCTATGTCAATGGCATGTTTAAGAAAAAGAAATCTTGCGAAATTGAATGACATTGGAATCCTTATCAGTTAAAATATTATCGAAAAATCATATATTAAAACGAAAAGAAAAAAAAAACCTAATAGTAATAATAACAGATTGAAAATATCAAAATGCAAGTAACACGAATTCTTAATCGTGGTCGTGATCCTGTAGCACCATTATCACAAAGAGCTACTATTGATTCTGGACGAACTTCTTGGTCATCAGCTTCAGTTGTTAGTACAATTGAAACACAATCACCAGAACCAAGAATACCCGAAGAAGTTACTCGACAGTAATTTTTCTCATGTTTTTCTTTTTTCGAAAAACAAAACAAAAACAACTATTTTGTTTCTTGTACTCTTAGATTAGAACAAACATATGGGACATCAATTATGAAGAAAAAAGTATATATTGCTTTAGGTATTGTTGTTGTATTCGTACTTATTTGTGGTATTATTGTTGCCATTGTTTTACCTCTCACATTAAATCAAAGTAAATATTAGAATTTTGATAAAATTTATTAGATTTAAAATTTTCATGATATTTTCTAGCTGCGACTACGACAATCTCAACTACACGAGCTACAACTTCAATTGTAACTACAACGCATAGTAAATGATAATAGAAATATCGAATCATATATTGTTTTCTTACTAATTTTTATAATCTATTAACGGATGTAAATAAGAAGACAAAGTTTTGTATTTACAATACGTATATATATATATTTTAAAAGTTCTGAAATGATGTTACAAATTCATCATTCGTATATTCAATTAAAACAATGTCTGTTTTTGTAACTTTTGTAGATTATTCTCTATCTATTTACTTAATACTAAATAATTACAAGTCGATAGATGAGAAATTGTAATAATACTATCATACATAATAATTACCTTCGATAATATAAACAAGTTTTTAAAATGAAAAAGAAATATATGCATCAATTTATTGACGTTCCTGTATTGAATTATCATATTGATTTATTACGAATTTTAATCGTGTTGATATTTATCTATCATTTTTTATTATACGAAAATATGAAATTTATTTTAATGTCGTTTTTCAATTGTTTAATGCTATTGTATTTTCATGCTGATAATCTCTTTTTTTTTGTAATACACTCCAAATGTATTCAACAGGCTAAACATTAGCTAATTGTGTAGTACACTTTTTTGATTCGATTCAATTGATAAAAATATGTCTGATAAAATTTGAAGTTATGTGTATCAATTATTTAGAATCTTGACTATGTTGAAATATAATATTTTCGAAATCTTCTAGCTTTTCTATTGCTAATCTTTATATTTCTTTTATCGATGAATATAGAATCAATATTTGTTGCAACATTTTTCGTTTCGCTTTTCATTAGCTTAGACAGTAGAAAAAATGAAGTAGTGGATTTAGAGAGAGGCATTGAGAACGATGAACTCTTTTCTCCGAATTAATGTTCAATTTTTCAGAAGAGAAAACACCGAACAATGAGCCTATGCGATCTCTAATAGACTTCAAGATATGTTTTGTGATCATGATTGCCCCTTTTCGCAAAATCCTAGATTCGCTACTGAAAAAACGATAAAATAGTGCTTGTTAGCTAAATAGATACAATAATCTATTAAAGTTGCCAAAATTTTGCTTTTATTGAATACACGAATGAAGAATCTTAAAATTGTTTCAGAACTTTTAGAATACTCTGACAGGCTACTAAATGTAATTGCCGATGTCACACAATGAGATGACAGATTATAAAATGATAAAATCATAGTGAATTTTTAATGAATAAAGAGGGTGTGGGTGTGGGTGTGGGTGTCATTCCTCTCTATACTCACACCCACACCCTAAAATATGCTGTAAAAAATAATCACAAAACATGTGTAGCATTTTTGCTACCATCGGACTCAAAGGGTTAATACTACATAGTAAGGATTATCGCAACTATTTAGTGTTGAATGAAGGAAATTTCTACAATTTTACTCCATATCAACAAAGAAAAATTCCTTTTATGAGACCACTCAAACTAGATCTCATTGAAAATGATGAATATCACAAAGTACTAGATACCTGACCTGAAAATATTGAAGAAATAGTCAAAAATGAAACTGAAGAAAACTGCTATCAAAGACGAAACGCAATCGTTATGATGAAGAAACCCTAAGAAAACATATTTTATATGTTTTGGCAAACATGGAAACAAACACTGACCTATATAAAATTATCTTATGTTTATATCCGTCTCATCTTCCTGCTATAAAAACGTTAACGATTGTTACACTGATTATTGATTATATTCATCAAATCTTAAAAAATAAATATTATCCTTTGATACTCATCATTTTGTGTGAGATCTAGTTAGACCTACCTCATGAAAGGAATTTTTCTCTGCTGATATGGTGTAAAAATTTAGAAATTTCCTTAATTCGACACTAAAAAGTTGCCATAATCTTTTGTATTTATCAGTAATATATCCGATTTTCGACGCACTTCAATTTGGTATAAAATTTATTGTTGATGTTATTTGAAATCATAACATTATCCTCCTAGAAAAACAATTTTACCTACCGTTTATATACGTATGTAGGCATCAAACCATGTTGAAAATTTATTTTATTCGGCTACATAATAAATAATGTTATTGATATTCATGATCAGAAGAGAAATTGTAGAAGGAAAAAAAATAAGAATATTTTTGTTTTATTATGTTGTAAAATATTTTATTTAATTGTTAAGAGATTTGATGAGTGTTCGTCGAGTTTTGGTCATGATTCTGATCTGAACATTTTCCGTTAACCGGGTCTAGGTCTGAAAATTTGACACTCGACAAAACTCTAGATTTGATTCATTCAAAAGTTTCTAATCTCACTGACAAATAATAGAACGAACTATACATCTCCTGATCATATGCTAGAATGCTGCTTACATCAAAACATTATTGAGAAAAAAATATTTACCAAAAATTGAAGTTAAATTTGATATTTGAACTATAGGCGTTTTACTGATCTCTGTGTAAAATATATTCATTGCTATTTTCTATAACATTTCATTTATAGTAACTTCAATTCCTTTCGCTAACCTTGTAGTACCATAAGTTTTAGGGGGTTGGTATCACCTCATATGCATTATATTGGATCAGAGCATAATTATTAAGAAAATTTAAAATATTTGAGTAAGATGTCGAAAACTTCACAACAGTATAGAATTGTGACAAATTATGTGCCGTTATAATTTTTTTTCGCAATATGAAAGTTATTCCTCTCTCTCTCTCTCTCTTTATTGCATAATGAAGCCTGTAGGTGTTGAATTTTTGGAATCCAAACTCAGTGATTTTAACTTTTTCCAGTTTTCAACCTAAACTTAACTCTAAGCCTACTGAAAAGAAACTTTTTTAGGCTCAACTATAGATCTCGAGTAGATCCGACGCTTTCTACTACATATAACCAAATATTTATAAACTGCATAAAAAACAATCGAATAAATTCAATCAATTCAAAAAGCAACTGTTTAATAATAAAATGATCCAATACAAAGATGTTCATAATTCTTCTATAATCAACATACAAAACTATTGATAGAAAGCTACTTTTCTAAATACATAGTCTTTCACATTGATTTTTCTAGTTGGACAAAATTTTAAATAAATCACATATTATTTATATCTATATTGTTCGGAGTACAATGAAGAATTGAAAAACAAAGAACAAAAAAAAACAACAAGGCTTCTACATATCCTATTTGCACAGAATATTAATACAATTCTTGGAGAAAATACTGATATAATTCTTTTCATGATAATATATATCTTATCAAAAAATTAAAAAAATATATAAATAATAAACATTTAGCTTTGATTTTTCTTTTTATGTTGTTTAAATAAGTCTTTAATTTCTTGAGTGTGTGCTTCTTGTTCAGGTGTTAAGCCATGTCCATTATGAGTGTGTATATTAGCACCAACCTCTAATAAAGCTTTCACTACGTTTGCATGTCCAAAAAAGGAAGCTGCATGAAGAGCCGTACTGTTGTTCGAGTCTTCGATTTGATTGACTTCTCTTATATGCATTGTTTTTAATAATCGATTCACTTTCATTAAATCACCTTCACGACATGCCAAATAAAACTCACTTGCATGACCCTTACTATTCGATGAACGATTCAACTCAGCCATATTGCTTTAAGAAATCAATTGAAAAAGAAAATATTTTACGGCCATAACTGAATACTTTACTGTGACTCTACTCTATTTGAAGAAGATTTTATTTATATTGTTATGTTTATTGTGTTCTTTTATTTTATTTTAACAATTATAAATACACCGACAACAAGTGACATCAAGCGAAGATTAAAAAATATCAAATCAATAGATATCTTTAGTCACTGAATAAATTGTTCACATCGAATGAATGATGGACAGTATTATTTTTCATTTGTTTTGAATCATTGACCGAAAAGAATTTTTTTGATTCATCAAATAATTTCCTATCTGTCATAATAAATGTCTTTACAGTTTTAACATATATATGAGCCATTTCAAGTGAAATAGGACACACTCATCTTGCATTTGACGTTGATTCTTTATAAGGATTATTTTTCTGAATAAATTCTTTTAGCTTAGAAATATTTAAAATGTTGACTCTTTCAACTGATTATTAATTAAAAAATGATTAACGAAAATCTTTCTAATTATATGAGAAAAAAATTTCGAAAGCTTCAGGATAGACTCTTCATCTAAACATAAAATAAATGCCAATGTTATTTTTTTTTTGTGTCAAATCGATAATGCGAAGTTTTTTACTGATAACTCTTCTGAAAGAAATGTCTCTAGTATTAATTTTTTTTAAGCGTATCTAGAATAACTTGACATATATGTAATATATCAAAAAATTAGTTCCAGAAAAATTCATTATCTCGAGATAAACGTGATTTTATTTTGTAAAGTAACATTGTTAATGAATGATTTTACCCATACATTGATATTCTGAAGTTGCTTCTTAACAAATTCTTTTTCCAAAACAATTACAAAAGAATCTTATGTATTCTTTTATTTATTGATAAAAAAAAGATTTTTATTTAAACTTGTAGATAGATTACCATCAATAAAAGTCTATTAGAATTTAAAAAGATAACTAATTGATCTTTCTTTAATTGATATGACACTAGACGTACTCGTTATTGTAAGTTTTGTCGTAACAATAGAATTTGCAAAACATGTTAATCAAATCAATTACATTAATATACAAAGAAAAAGCAGACGAGTAATTCTCAAAGGAAATAATTTCATTCACATTTTATAATCAACACATGGATAAAATGAGACTCGTAATAAAAAAAGAAAATGTTATTATTCTGAATTTTAACTATTAGCATTGCAAAAATAAATCAATTGACGAATGAATCTCATAAAAACAAGTATTATCTTATTAAATTATATCAAACAAAATTAGCCCATAAAATATAATGTACTAATTAGTATTGTTTTGATGTACGACATAACCCTATTCAATGATTTCCACCAAAAATCTTAGTAATCATTCAAATTGAACACTTTTGAATTTAAATTGTATATAATTCAATCAGTGCTAGTCATTAATTTCATTGAGAATCTTTTTGAATCTCTGTATACTGAAATAATTCGAATAGAAGAATTAATTTTTCTTCCGTTTAAATTTTAGCAACAAATGTATAATGAAAACGTATTAATCAAAAAAAAAAACAACAACAACAATCATATAGTTTCAGATTGAAATTGGTTTATTGATTAAGAAAAATTTTGTATCTTATTATTTTCTCTTCCAATATTTTCATGTCTTTAATTGAAATAATCAGAGTCTATTAAGTTTTTTAATTTTGATAAATTTTCTACATTATTTTGTCTAAGAACTTGAAAAAAAGTAATGACATATTGTTTTTTGCACTTAAAGGCGTCAGTATGCAATGAAGAATACTGTTAAAATCTTTACGTTGCAGATGACGGTGCACTTTTTTTTTTCTCTTTCTTCCCTTTCCTTTAAGGAACGGCAACATCAGTGAAGTCATTTCACTTACGTACTATAAGACGACTAAAGAACATTGGCTCTGATTGGGTAACGAATGAGTACAAATTGAGTCATGCAAATAAATGTCTATTGTTTTTTTGCTTTTTGTTAACAGAAAATGGTGAATGTTTGGGAATGGATACGTCAAATTTGGATTCCGACATCATCTGCTCGATTAGCTGAAGCTGAACGTCGTGTATTAACAGTTATTAGATATCCATTTGAACAAAGTCAAATATCTATTGGTGATGAATTAACCATAAATACAATTCATACACATAATTCAAAAGCACAACGATCAAATGCAAGATCACCATTAGTACTTCTACATGGTTTTGGTGCTGGAATTGGTTTTTGGTTACTTAATCTTGATGCATTAGCTGAACAATATGAACATGTTTATGCAATTGATTTACTTGGTTGTGGACGATCATCAAGACCACGTTTTCGAGCTAAAACATCAGATGATGCTGAACATTTTTTTGTTGATGCTCTTGAACGATGGAGGATTCAACTTAATCTTGACAAAATGGTTTTACTTGGTAAATTATTTTTTATATCTATAGAATACGTAAATGCTAAAATTTCTTTTGTTTTCGATGAATTTATTATAGGACATTCATTTGGTGCCTATGTTGGAGGCTCATATGCTATGTCATATCCATCTCGTGTTTCACATCTAATATTAGCTTCACCTGTTGGTGTACCAAAAGAGCCTGATACACCTGAACCACCTCTTCGCCATCGTCTTTCAGTTGGATGGCGTCTTATGCGTAATTTCATTATATTTTTGTGGAATCGTGGTTATACACCTCAATCTGTTGTTCGACTTATTGGTCCAATAGGTCCACGACCCGTAACTGCATATGTAACACGACGGTTTTTAATTGGACCGGCTGCTGAAGATACACCATCAACAGCTAGTGAAGCAGGTCTTGAAACATCAGCAGCTATTGCTGATCAAATTGATAAAGGAACATTGAAATTACCTAAAGATGATGTAGCTCAATATCTCGTATGTTATATCATCATGTTAAGTTCGATTTTCTTTTTTTTGAAAAATTGATCTATCTTTGTTTTAGTATCATTTATGTGCACAACCAGGCAGTGGTGAATATGCTTTGCCTCGTGTTCTTAAATCGAATGTTTTTGCATATAATCCATTAGAAAATCGTTTAAAAGATAGTGATGTTTCACGTGTTACATTTTTCTATGGTGATCATGATTGGATGGATACAGAGTAAGTTTTAATATTAATTTATATGATTTATTTATTTTTGATTGATTTTATATTTGAATAGAGCTGGCCGAAGAACAGTTGAATCACTGAATAGACGAATAAATAGTTCAAATTCAGCTCGACTCATTGTTATTCCTCGTGCTGGTCATCAAATGATGATTGATAATCCAGATGGATTTCATGATGCTATTCGACGAGCTTTACAAGATGATTAAAATTACAAAAGAAAAAAAAAAATCATAAAATATATTTTTTTTATTGGAAATTTTTTCAGTCCAGCGACATCATTTTTCCGTTTATTGTTTTTTTTTATAAAATAAAATAAATCATATTGATGCAAAACAAAGAAATTTTTACATGAACAAATTTCGTATCTTAGAAGAGTCATTGCAATAGAAAATATATGTATCGAATAATAATAAAGAATATTTACTTCACTAGATGTCTCTATTGAACAAGAAAACTCAAACAATCTGCATAGATGTCTAAAAATTACTCAACTAATTGTTTTATTCTTCTGTAAGGACATCGACCGGAGACATGGCGTAATCATCAGGCTGTGTATGTGTGTATATATATCAAAATCTCTCTCATGGTCATACTCATCTTTATTGACAGATATTTCATCATTATTTCTTTGTTTATTTGTAGATCCTTTTCTCTATACCATCAAATAAAATCAGATAAAAAAAGAAAAGTTCGTATAACAATGGATATAACATCAGGTCCAAGCTCTTCTTTACATATGTCATCAAAATCTGAATTTTTAATCGGTGGAAAATATCGATTAGTACGTAAAATAGGTTCAGGATCATTTGGTGATATTTATTTGGGTATAAACATAACAAATGGTGAAGAAGTTGCTATTAAACTTGAATCAGTCAAAGCACGACATCCACAATTATTATATGAATCAAAATTATATAAAATTTTACAAGGTGGAATTGGCATTCCACATATACGATATTACGCACAAGAAAAAGATTATAATGTTCTTGTTATGGATTTACTTGGACCATCACTTGAGGATCTCTTTAATTTTTGCTCACGACGATTTACCATGAAAACTGTTCTCATGCTTGCCGATCAGGTTTGACAATTATATACATCAATGAAGTTTTAATTTAAAAAAACCTCATTTCTTAAGATGATTGGTCGTATTGAATTTGTGCATAATAAAAATTTTATTCATCGCGAGTAAATTTCGCTTGTGTATTAATTTTATTAATCTTGTTTTGTTTTTTTTTTGCTATTATTTAGTATTAAACCGGATAATTTTCTAATGGGCATTGGTCGTCATTGTAACAAGGTTAGTTAATTATAAATAAGATTTAGGTAGTTTTAAGTAGATTTTGTTTTTGTGTAGGTGTTTTTAATTGACTTTGGTTTAGCTAAAAAATATCGTGACAACCGAACTCGTCAACACATTCCCTATCGAGAAGATAAAAATTTAACAGGCACAGCTCGTTATGCTTCCATAAATGCTCATCTTGGTATCGAGCAAAGGTTCGATTAAATAAAATAATTTATATAATGTAATTTTGTTCTATTCAATTTTTAGTCGTCGTGATGATATGGAATCTTTAGGTTATGTTTTAATGTATTTTAATCGTGGTTCATTACCATGGCAAGGTCTTAAAGCAGCAACAAAAAAGCAAAAATATGAAAAAATATCAGAAAAAAAAATGTCGACACCTGTTGAAATTCTTTGCAAAGTAAAAACCAAAAAGAAAAGTCATTATATTTTATTCTTATTTTGTTTTTGTTTTTTTTTCAAAACAAAAAAGGGATTTCCAGCTGAATTTGCTATGTATTTAAATTATTGTCGTGGTCTTCGTTTTGAAGAAGCACCTGATTATATGTATTTACGTCAATTATTTCGTATTCTATTTCGTACATTGAATCATCAATATGATTATACATTTGATTGGACTATGTTAAAACAAAAAGCAGCTAATGCAGCATCATCATCAACAGCAGCAACAGCTACAGCTGGTCTTAATATGGCAACAACCGGTGGCACAGTAGCACCACAACAACCATCAACAACACAAATGGCTACTGTAATGGCAACGAATACAGGCAATAATGGAACAACGCCAGGTAAAGGAGGAAAAGAAGATGATGGTACTGATCACGACGAGAACCCAGAACCAGCCACATATTCATCAAATGGACACGACTGATAGAAAAAAGTAGAGAAATATAATCATACGATAGCATACTCAACTAACTGCCAGAATTGCGCTTTACGCTTGCTACTCTGTCGCTTTTTTTATCTAGTAGGTGGCAGACACTCAATTATTTCTTTTGATTTTTTTTTTTATTTCAAACGTTTGGATTTTTATTATTTATTTTTTTGTTTTGTTTTTTGTATTTAGACTTGCAAAAAATGAATACCAACGACTAAAAGTGTGGAGAAGTAACTCGCACACGTACAAGAGAACAAGACAACTTCATATCGTATTGTCTATCATTTTTTTCTTTTTTTTTTTGTCTCATTATCTGTACTTGCGCTTGCTCTTTTTTTTCCTTCATGTGTCTCTTGATCGAAATGTACATGCCGTCGGCTTCTACTTCTATACTTTTTCTTCTATTATTTTGTCTTTTTTCTTTTTCTAATGATTATGATGATGAACATGATCGGCAGCAGTGAATCGTTTTCAGAAAAAAAAACAAAATTCACAAGATAAACTTGAATATATAAATATACATATATACATATATATATATATAAGCAAAACTGATTTATTTATAATAGAATTTTCTACTAAAATCTCACTTTATTTTTTGTTTCATATGGAAAATTTTCTTGCATAAATGAAGTTTTAAAATTAATTTATTGTTTGTCAACTAAAGTAATACATAATATGAATTTAGTTGAATTTTAAAGCAGTAACTTTAATGAATGATGAAAAGGAAATTACTGATTTCATTTATTCATTCATAAATTAATTTAACAAAATCTATAATTCGACTAAAACTAATCATTTAGAGTCGATTGATTTTTTTTCTTTTTTTTTTTTTTTATTGAATATGTGTAACAAAAACAAAACGTTTGCATGATTTTTTTTTGCTTGATTGAAAATGAAATTGAATTTGTAATTTATTTTGTCTAGGAACACTTTACGTACAAAAATCAAAATGAAATAAATATCCATATCATCGTTCTACGTGAGTGCATATTTTAATTGGCCCGCGAAACATGTGTCTGATCGTACCTAATATAACATGATATAAAGAAAACAAATTTATTCGTTCGACATATTTTGACTAAATCAAACAAAACAAAAAAAAAACACAAAATCATGTTAAAAACGTTTAAATAAATTATATCTTATTTCAATGTTAATTTATTTTCATAAAGTCGAAAAATTAACAAAGAATATCATACTACTTGATTTATCCTATTCTAAAATTTACATTTAGAATTGCAAAAAAATACTCAGATGTATAACTTTAAATACATAGTTTGATTAAATTTTATTATTAGAGTAAAATCAAATTTAGCCTAAATATATCTACGTTTGCATAACTTAGGAATTGACTAAACAAACATTTCCCAAGGCTTATAACAGATGACTCAATATATTCCGCCATCCTTCAAACAATCGACCAATCATAAACACAACATATGTTTGGTTACATAATACAATCACAAAGTATTTGTCATCCTATTGATGTCATCAGCATATTATATAATTATTTGAGAAAATACGAAGAAAATATGTCGTTGTTCCTATTCTTTCTCTATGTTGATATTAGTATTTCTACAAATGAACAAATCAATGTATTTGGTAAATCTCTTCAACAATGTTCTTTATCACTGTTGACAGGTTATTATCGATCAGGTATGAAATTATTTAATTAAAATAAAAAAAAATGATTCTATTTTTACTACAAGAAAAGGTTCGTGTGAATGTCATAATTCGAATGATTATGGTGTTCATACAGTATGCGTACAAATGACACGTTAATTTCTTCAGTTTACTCGTTCGCATGGTAATGATTTATCAACATCAAGAAATTTTAGTCAATTTTCTGGCTTATGTGACGGTGATCTTTGATATTTATATGCTGTAAGATGAAAAAAAGTTTTAGTAGCTGATGTCGCTCCATCGGTTATTTTTCGAGCAACACATCATATTACATTACTATATGTTAAATTTGATGACCTTCGAAAATATGCACTCGCTAACAATAATCAACGTAAAGTTCAAAATAAAACATAAATTTTAATTTTTAGAATATGATTCAATGCATAATGAAAATATAATTTTTACTACACATTCATCAAGAATAATATATAATTATTCATAAGCATGGAATTAGAAATTTTTTTTTTCTTTTTTAATATTTTTATTTACGGTGAAATGGATTATTTTTTTTTATTCTAATCAAGTTTGATGTAAATGTTTCAGTACACGATTTAGAAAATAAAGCTAATCACACATATTAATCTAGAATTCAAAATACAGCTCAAGAGAAATCTAGATTATGATAATAATATTATTCTGTGAAGCAGATAACAGAATGTCTGCATGAAGTTTATTGTAATTGTAGCCAGATGAATTTTCCATGAATTAAATAATAGACTCAGTTTTTCATTGACATCTATGATTACCAAGATATTAGCACACAAAAAAAGGTCCTTAGAAAAAAAAATCTTTTTTATCGCTTAGCAATGATAAAATGTGAAGATTAAATCATTCTTTATCAAAAAGTTCATGGTCAATCAAACAAGTCCTATTTAACAAAAAAAAAACAAATAAAGAAAAAAAAAACTTGATTGTGAAGGGTACTTTGAACTTTAGTTTCAATAGTTAATTATATTCTGTAATGAGATATACTGCAGTTCAATTAGCGACATGATTATCACCAGATGTATATTCATTTATTTTCTAAATAATTAATTATTTAATCTTACTATCAAAATATAAACAAAGTGTATACATTTATCCCTGATGTTCTCAATAAAAGTAACCATTATCATGTTTGACAACTAATTGAATACTTCAAATACTTCCATATTTAGTATTCACTTTCGTATTTTGTGATTAATGTTTTGATATGTTGATTTTATTAGTAAAAATTATTGATAAGAAAAGAGCAAAACCATACGAATGAAAAGTTCAAAAATAAAATAAATTTCATTTTGAATCAATCGATCTTTATAATTTGAATGTTTGGCAAACTTGTAGAAGAACAACGAATTTTGGTTTCTTACAAATTCGTTTGATTTATATGTATATTTTCTTTATTTTGTTCTCTTCACCATGTACGCCATAATCTCACTCATAACTAATTGTTATACTTGAACTCCTATTATATATATGCAAAAATAGTCAATTATTAGAGAATATCTTTGTTTTGTTCGCCTAACTACAATGAGCGATAGTACTAATCCGTTTTACTTTTGTTCATAAATGTATCCTCAGAAATGTGGCGCTTAATTATAGATTATATAAAACTCGAAAGATATTGAGTATTTACTATTCATGACCAGTGGTCAGATATAACTATTTCATTTAAATCTTTATTATCAAAAGTGTTACTAGGGATTTGTCCCGGCATTTCTTATAGAGCTTTTCACGGCACATATTTAAAAAAAGATCGAAATTTTATCGTTTATCGATACTGAGATATATGCAAAATCAAACGTGCGCAAACATTTTGGGACACCCGTTATATTATCTATTCTCTTTATTGTTTTTCTCGTTTGTTTTTGAAAATAATTTCATGTTGAAGCTTCTAGCAAACTGTTACTGTGTTATTATTAATTAATAAAACTGATTTACATTCAATGATATTAATAGAATCTAATTCAATGTTTATTATAGAGAAATCCATGACAATTTCTTCTATATATTCTTCACATAATGTGATACTATTCTTAAGTTATGCTGAAGTCGTTAAACTTTAGCACATGAGTCACATGAAATAACTGAAATATTTTAAACAAAAATATAGAAGAAAAAAAAAGCTATTTATGAAAAATTTTGAAGAGTTAAATCTGTATAAGATGATTTTTTTTTATATATAGATTTATGCAAAATCAAGTATAATTTTTGTGTTTATTTTATAAACATGATAAAGCAATCTTGCAAAAGGAATTAAACTCTCGAGGAACATAAAAATTCATAATGCATTAATATAAATGAATGAAAACAGTAACTTTTGCCATTCTAACCCAATCCTTTCTTCGACATCAAATAAAAAAAACTTAACATTTTTTATGACATTGGGGCGGTTTTTCTTTCAAAGAGAATTTTATATAAAGTCGTAAATTATTTATGAAAGTTGACTGTAAGCAAAAGAAAAATCACCACCATTGTAATTGTGATGTATAAAAGAATTTTTTCTATTAAAAAAATATAATCTATACTCTATGTATTATCGATCGATGTTTCAAAAGTTTCACAACAAATAAAGTTTTTTTTTTTTACAAATGAATGCAAATAGAAGAAATATGAAACATTTAGCATTGTTTAAATGAAACGAAATAATTCTTCATCAAGTATCGTTACATAATAAATTTATGATAATATTGCTATGGTATCAATTAAAATTTAATTGTGAATCTTCTAAAAAAAAATTACCTTAGATTGTAGGTCTAATAGTGATTTCATAAAATTGTTTGTTTTTCATTAATCAACAATATTCAATCAAATGAATGAAACTATTGTTTAACTAGAAAATAGTCCAATGTTTTATATGACTTGTAAAGTCCATCAATTGACGCAAAATCTTATTTGAATAATGACATATTACACCAGATTTGTCACTTTTGCTTATCATGAATCAAGAAAAAAAAAAATAAAGAATCTTCAAATGTTATCTTTTGTATCGATATACGTCAAAAATTCAACACTTGTAACTGCTACCTTAACAAAGAGAGATAATTGCGTGTATAAATACAAGACTTTGATTAACATCTCTTCACTAAATTCGTATTAATAATTATCATAAAGCAGCATTTTCAAACAAAATAATGCAAATTTCAATTATTTATTGCATTTTTCTTGTCGGTTTTGTTCATATATGCTTATCTGCCTCAACTCCTGAATGGACAGGCTTCTACAATGTCGATAACAGCTGTGATCAATCCAAATGTTGCTGTTTATCTGAACAAGTAAAAATTACAAAACCCAATAATGCACAGTTTTTAATCGATGCTAATGTTGCTGGTCTACCATGTCAAGTACAACTCAATGGATCAACTACAGTATCTGTTCCACTTCCAATTCCTCAAGATAAAAGTGGCTTTCAAATCACAACAAATTTTCTTGGTACTCTCAATCGATTTACTCTCAGTGCCGATAGTCAATATATTGCTCATGCTAATTTCGATGCTCCAGAATGTAGTGGTAGCGCAAGACGAGCTGTTAGTAATTGGGTAGGAACATTCAATATTGATGATAGTTGTAACCAAGGTGAATGTTGTTGTTTATCTGAACAAGCAACTATTAGTAAAAAAAGTGATACAGAATATTTAATATCAGCACGTGTAGCTGGTACACCATGTCAAGCGCAATTGAATGGTTCAAGTACAATTAATGTACCAATTCCAGCTCCTCAAGCTAAAAATGGTTTTCAAATAACAACAACTTTTCTTGGTACTATGAATCGATTTACATTAACTTATGATAATCAATATATTGCTAATGTTAATATACAATATCCAAGATGCAGTGGTATGGGACGACGAGTTGATGAAGACAAAAATACAGCTTCATTAATTTCGTCATCGCCGATTCTTATTCTTATCAGTTTTTTCTTATTTCGTATGATTTACGTGTGAAATTAAAAATCACTTGATCATTCTTTTCGATAAGAAAAAATGAACAAATTAATTATTCTATTTAATTTTGCTCAAAATATCGATTTCTTTTATAAGATTTTACTAAATAAATAAGCAATATTATATTATGCGTTGTTTCAATAGATTAAATAATATTTATGGCTTAGAGAAAGAAGAAAAAAATAGATCGATATTTGACAAAAACTAACTTAACAATGATAAAGATTTTTTATATGAAACTTTGGATATTTTTATCATGTGTGACAATCTCATTGATTCCATAGTAAAGACAGCAGTTTGTGTCATTATATCACTGAGAAATACAAAAAAAAAAAATATCAATTCTACTTATAATCCTTTGAAAGTACAAAAACCTATCATGTCTTATTTTAACGTCGGATTTAATATAGACATATTGAAGGAACAGTTATTGACTTTTTCTTTGATCCTCGGAAGAACAAAAACAAATTCGAAGAAAATTTGTGTAAAGGAAACTATGATAACGACAAATCTATTATTTTTCAAATCTTACCAAAACTTTATAATTACACATTGACTATTCAAAAAAAATTTTTCAAGACAAATGAAATGTTCGTTCGAACGATCTACAATCGATTTTAATATTTTCACAAGTGTAATTTTTCACATGAATATTTCTGAATCAATTTAACAACAAACTTTATCATTTTTATCATATCTTTCTATTTATTATGGAGATAGTTTTGAGTCAGCTGGTCGTAGTCACTGGTACCGTAATAATCAGGTAATTTTATATAGAAATCATACATTTTTTCTTTTTCTCTTCATTAACTGCTACTACTATTTGCATTCATATTCCAATATGAATACTGTTACTATTTTTTTAACAATTACCACATCTCTCCTAAGTGTCAGTTTATCAGCTGATTTACCAAATTGGCTAGGCACATTTAATATAGATAATAGTTGTAATCAAGCCGAATGTTGCTGTTTAGATGAAGAAGCAACGATAGTAAAAATTAATGAATCACAACTTTTAATTACAGCTAATGTTGCTGGTCTACCATGTCAAGCACAACTCAATGGATCAACTACAGTATCTGTTCCACTTCCAATTCCTCAAGATAAAAATGGTTTTCAAATAACAACAAGTTTTCTTGGTACTCTCAATCGATTTACTCTCAGTGCTGATAGTCAATATATTGCTCATTCTAATTTACAATATCCAAGATGTAGTGGTAGCGCACAACGAGTAGTTAGTAATTGGTTAGGAACATTCAATGTTGATGATAGTTGTGATCAAAATCAATGTTGTTGTTTATCTGAACAAGCAACAATTACTAAAATAAGTGATACACAACTATTAGTATCAGCATATGTAGCTGGTGAACCATGTCAAGCACAATTGAATGGTTCACGTACAATTGAAGTACCAATTCCAATTCCAAAAGATAAAAATGGTTTTCAAATAACAACAATTTTTCTTGGTACTATGAATCGATTTACATTAACCTATGATAATCAATATATTGCCAATGTTAATTTACAATATCCAAGATGCAGTGGTATGGGAAGACGAATGTAGAAATGTTTTTTTTTTCTTGATTAGTTTTCGGTATTTCGCTGTTTTTTGGAATATGATTCTTTCATTATGAAAAAAAAAAGAATGATATGAAGAACAGTATTTTTTTTCTCAAATAAAATTTTTAACAATTGTATGTGATTATTTTTCTAAATACAACAGTTTGTTCGATCCATCTTGGGATTAATATGATATAATTTATTTGTCCATCTCTAACAATGTACAATTCTTAAGTTTAAACTAAAACTTGTATTTAAAAACAAAAAATTCTTTAAAGGGTAACATATATATGTTTAATTTATCAGAAAAATCATTATTGTTTTGTTTTCTGCCGGAGAAGACACAGCATAAAAATGACCGATAGCCAATTACAAATAAAACGGCGGACGACGGATAAATCAACATCATACGGAGATTAAAATTTTTTCCTATATAATAACCTTTTCTTTTTTTTTTTGTGAATAGGCAGAAACGTCTGTTTACACATATATATATATACATATTATCATATGTATGATTGGTGTTAGTTTCAGCGATATATCATATGATTGTAACAATGGCTAGTTTTTCGTTATCAGGTAGTACAGGTAAACAAGTATTTATTTCTCTTCGTGGTCTTTCCCACGAAGTATGTGTAGCAGCTACACAAGCAGAATATTGGCAACAGGTTTGTTTGAAAATGCAAAAAAAAAAAAAACGAAAATTGAACTAATATAATCTAAAAAATTTATGTGTAGTTAATAAAAAATTCAAGTATTACAATTACATGTAATGGTAATTATGTACCAGTAGAATTAGAAGCATATTGTAATGATGAAGATGAACCAAGACTTCATCTAATAATTCAATCACAACATGAACAGGATAATAAAGCATTTGATAGTATGTTTTTTAATTTTTTTTTGAATAAATAAAATTTGAAAGAATTTTCTATATGTTTAGTTATTTGTACACGAATACATTATGATTTATTATCATTCGAAAATAATGATCGACCGATTTATGATGTAATTCAATTTTTGTTTTTGTTATGTATAAATTTTTATTGATTTAAATATTTTTAGTTTGTTAAACATCAAGTGATAGTTTTTGGTTCTTTATTTAATTCACTTCCTAGTGATATATTTGATACTGAACGATATTTATTAGGTCAACGAGTAAGTAAAAAAAAACCAAATGTTAAATATTAATTAATATAACATTTTTTTTTTAATGTATAGAATTGTAATGTTAAAAAAATAAGAAATTCATTAACTTGTTCAATTTCGGTTGATCAACTGACGACACATAGATATCGTTTTACGATTTTGTAAGTTTAATTCTATTTGTTTTCGACAATGATATTCAATGTAATATATATAAAATTCTTTTTCTTTTAGTCATGAAAAACAAACTATTATGGATCTTGCAGCTATTGAAATTCAAGCACTTGTAAAACAAACACAAAATCATTATATAATGGGATATGCTACGAAAATTGGACGAACTTTAATAGGTCCTATCGAACAAATGGAAACTGGTAAGTATTTTAATGAAAAAGAAGAAAAAAAAGTATATTTATTGAGCTTAAAATTTTAGCTATTGTATCAACAAATATCGAAACACTTCCATCATTTACACCATTTCAACCTATTGTTAAACGAGTATGTAAAGAAAATTATCATTAATTATATTGATAAGAGTTATTTATTTTATTGTTAGAAGCGTACTGAAGATGAACAACAACAATCAGCAACAACAAGTGGTATAAATTAAATAAATATCAAAATTTGCATGACTCTTTTTTTTCAATGTTTGCTTAGGTCAACCAATCATTGATTCTGATCAAAGTGATGATGAAACAATACCTGACGAAAGACGGTATAATACTGAAGGTTTTGTTTCAAATTCTACTTTACATAATTCTCCAACATGGGTTGATCCTGATTGTATTTCATCTCATCTATCATCCCTGTTAGATGGTGTTTTTCTTGTTAAGTCATAATCCTAATTAAGATGAGTATGTACAATAATAGTATTGATTTTTTTTTAAGAAAAGAAAAAAGAAATGAGTATGTTTTATGAAGTCTTTCATTTATTTGGGCAACCTGTAGGCGATTGGTAGTCTACATCAAATATGCTAAAAGGCACTTGGTAGCCTCAAAGAAATTGGTATATGCAATCATAAATCTTGATACTAATTGGATTCTGTGAAAGAAAATAGTGGAATCGAAATTGATGGCGATAGAGAACTACGTAGTGGTAAAATAATATTTTGATTCTGTTTTAGAGAATCAAAAAAAAAAATGGTATATTACATAATATTTGGTTTAACCAACTGACTGAGTGAAGACTATGTACATGATGTAGAACTTAATTAACTATGAGTACTCTGATAATATTTGTAAAACATATTTTCGAATTGGGATTTGAAACTTGCATAGAGACATTGCCTAATGTGAGTGGTCTTTCTGAATGTTTCAGATCTTCTCTTAAGATACAGTTATGGTAAAAGAATATCTTTTACTTTGCTCTTGTAGAATGATAGATTCAATGTTCTCATGTAAGGGTAGAAGCAAATTAAATTATTTCAAATTTTTCATAGTAAATTGAAAACATGGTTCTGTACAAAGTTTTCAATCAAAGTTCGAAAATCAGTTCTGGTGTTTCTTAGGAGCACTATGGCATAGCATTTTAAACCTATCGTGGATTTACAGTATGTCCGCAGCAATAAGCTAAGAGCTCGAACTAATCAGTATCTTCAAAATTCATTTAGACTTTCATGATACACGTATTTTTGAATCGAATGCGTATAACCTGTCGGAGAACTTCGCTCAATTTTTTCGAACACAGCTTCAGGTTAAGTTGGATTTTAGAAGAAAACGAAATTGATTTTATGCTAAGTTGTGCTAATTGCACTATTCGAAAGTATCTGATTGGAGAGATATGAAAAATGTTTTCTCATGTTTATGGTTTCGCTCAGGATTGAGTGAAACTGTTACTTTGAACAGTAGTAAATCTTGACATGTCCACATAAAGATGTGAAATAACTTCGAAACTGCATTCTGTCTATAAGAAATTATATGCCCTACAGAAATCTATTTTACTGGCCGTAGTCGCAGCAGGTGAAAAGAAAAACAAAATTCTATAGACGTTTTGTTTTCAATTCGCTTATTAGTATTGAAAAATACGCAATAAATCAATATAGAGTGTTTGTATATATTTTAGTCAAAATAAAAAAATCTATTTGTATACAAAATTTATTGGTTTAAAATTGTAAAAAAAAATGTTATATATTATATATAGAGAACAACGTCGTGAACAAATTGAAGTTCTTCTCAATGGTATTTGTGAACGAATGCAAGCTCATACACCAAAAGATCATGTAGCACAAGGTCGTGAAGATTCTAGTCAAATAAAATCTTATTTTCGTAATACTAGTTCATCAAAAACGGCTAGCAATGAATCAGAATTTTCAATTGAATTAGTTGAACATGAAATTGATTTACGTACACGTGGTATAAATGCACATAAATGTACATTAGTATTTAATAAACAATTAAAAATGGGTGCTGGTATATGTGATCGTTTAAAGAAAACTGCTAAAGTACGTGCTTATGAAAAATTGAAAAGACTTACCAGAGACACACCAAGGGAAAATCTTATTATAAAACAAACACGAGATGGTTTGTGGAAAGTTGTTAAATCTATAGAAGATCAATAGAAATCTGTATTTGTTATTCTTTTCTGTGTACTTTTTTTTTACGAAAGAATAAAAGAAAAATTGAATTGACGCAGTCTTTGTTTTTTTTTTCGTTCTATCTATTGAAGTTAGCAAATAAATGTATAGATAATTTTTTGTCATTTTGTATTTCTTTGCCTTATTTAAGTCAGCATATATTATATATATATAGACAACAGAATCAATTTTTATTTCTATTGATTCAGTATGGCGTATGTGAGCATAAGTTTTATTGTCTTAGCTCTTTTTATTCCGTTGGCTGTCAAATGTAGATGTAAGTGAATTTAAATTATAGATTTCCGAAAAGATATTTTGAAAATATTTGTTAGTTGTTAATTATCAAATGTGTCGTGCTAATGAGGGATATAGTCAATGTGGTAGGCAATGTCAACAAACATGTGCTGATATAGATACACCTCAACAACTATGCAATCATATGTGTGCTATTGGTTGTTTTTGTATTGATGGTTATGTACGACAAAGTGATAAGAATAGTCCATGTGTTAAAAAAACTGAATGCTAAATTTTTTTTTTTTTCATTTCAAATAAATATTCGTGTAAAATATTATCCAATGTTGTTTTTGTAAATGAGGCTTTGCTAATGTTCTAAATTGGTATAAATCTTGAATATTGAAAAATAAGATCAGATCCGAATTGGAGTTTATTGATAATCGGCAAGCGGATGAAGCTGAAGCGGAATGCAGCGTTGAAGCCGAGCATCATAATCATAGATACGATACATACGTGAATACTCTCTCCGTCACGATAATACATGCTCATCTTTTATGATTTTCACTGTTAAGCTTTTATGAGTACAAGTATTTTGAAAGGTTTAGGTCTTATTAATTGCGAGATCGAGTAGAAGTATGAAGTCATACTTGGTGGCCTGAAACAATTGCAGAACATTAACCATTTCACAGTTCGAATAAAAGCGAAAAACTTACTCGTTATTTTGTAATATGTTAAATAATGGACAAACTTTCGAATGACATTAAATCGATTAATGAAGTAGATAAGAAAAATATCATTTATAAAGTTTATCATAATATTGGAAGAAAAATAACTTTCATAAAATCAAGATCAATCATCATTATTTTTTATTTTGTTACAAATGAATGACGGCATAGTTCTTCAAACGCAATTTGGATCATCTCGTAGCGTTGATCCAACTATTGTTTCTATACCATCTGCTACATCAATACCATCATTAGCAACAAAAAAGAATAAATATTTTTATCAATATATACTTTCTGGTATATTTTTTCTTTTTTTGCTCGTTATTCTTATTCTGGTAGCTATAATTGTTGCAAAAATTGTTGCATATTCTGCAATACCGATTGAATCAATAATAACAACAACTACAATTACTACTCAAGCATCGGAAAAAAATGAATTATCTTCATTAGTTGATTCAATTACACTTGAACATACCCTTATTCATCTTCGTCAATTTCAAAGTCGTGCTATAGGAACAGTTTCATTTAATCGAACAATAGATTATCTTACATCACAATTGAATAAAGAAAATAATTTTATCGTTGAAAAATATTATTTTTCTGTTCCTCGTTCTGAACTCGCTGAGTATCCAATTTTTATAGCTTTACCTAATAAATCAAACGCATCCATATTTACATATCGAAAAGATTTTGTTCCTATGGATCGATCAGCTGAAGCTCGAAATTGGTCATTTATTGATGGTCGACCATTGTCAATTGTTGCACGTTTAGGTTGTTATTTAGATGATTGGAATAAAACAAAAGAAGGTGATGTAGCTTTAGTTCGGCGAGGTAATTGTACATTTGTACATAAAATTCTCTTGGCAATGAGTAAACGAGTTAGTGCATTTCTTATTTATAATGATGGACTAACAGTAGAACGTCTTGAACCATTAAATAATACTCGAGCACCAAGAAATAATACTTTACCAGCATTATTTCTTTCGTATGAAGCAGGCATGCATCTTATTCTTGAAAATACTTCTCATATTTATCTGCGATTAGAATTTCGATCACTTCCACCTACTATTGTAACTAATGTATGTGCAGACACGAAAGTAGGCAATTCCAATCAAACGATTGTTGTTGGTAGTCATAGTGATAGTGTATCAGCTGGTAATTGTCTTTTTTTAATAATAAACAAAAAATATTATTCCTTTTTGTGTTTTTGCGTATTATTAGGTCCTGGTCTAAATGATAATGGTAGTGGAATGGCAGCTACATTAGCAATTGCATTGAATTTAGCTCGTTTACTTGGCCATTCGAATTTTGCAATAAATATGCGTTCACGTATTAAATTTTGTTGGTGGGGTGGCGAAGAAGCTGGTCTATTAGGTTCAACAGATTTTGTGCGACGAGCAAAACTTGATGGTTCACTTGGATTATATTCTGTAAATCTTAATTTTGATATGTTAGCATCACCTAATTTTATTTTTGGTATTTATGATGGTAAGACAGCAGATAATGAAACAACTCCAACACGTGCTATACCTGGTAGTAATCGAATAACACGTTTATTTATTGATTATTTTGAACGAAATCGTTTACCATGGGATTATACGGAATTTAGTGGTCGAAGTGATTATGGGCCATTTCTTGCTGAAGGTATTGCTTGTGGTGGCCTATTTGCTGGTGCTGATGATATTAAAAGTCAAGAACAACGTGATCGTTATTTAAAAATGTTAGGTTCAACATTAGGTGGAATGGCAAATACAGATCATGATCCATGCTATCATCGAAAATGTGACACATTAGAAAATCTTAATACATTCGGTTATTTGCATATGGTGAAAGCTGCTGCTTATGCTATCGATTTTCTTGCACAACTTCAAGATCTTAATCAATGGCTTTATCCATAGAAACTTTTTTTTTTGTTCAATTTTATATTTGATGAAAGTCTGTGTCAAAAAAAAACAAAAAAGAACAAACTATTGTCGTGAATCTAATCAGCATTTGATTTATTGTAAAAGTATCAATAGATATATTTTCTTGAAATTGATTAATGGATTACAAGCTAGAAACTGAAAAAATATTTTTGAATCTATCGGAAAAACTCGATTGACTAAAAAGGGATTGAGTGAAAAGTCAAATACTACCGTCAACTTTGATGAACTCGATCTTAGCACTCCAATAGTTTCTTAATCTGGTTCATCTATCATTTTGAAGCTAGTTATTCTAATATCTTCCATATATATGTTTCATGAGAAACTGATGAGACGTAAAAATGACTTAAAATTTGACTCTTAGTCTGTTTATTGTGATTGAGTCGGTCTTAAAGTGACCGGCGTAAATATTAGGCACAACTTTATAATATTCTGTTTATATTGGTGTTGGGCAATTTCATCTTAAAGTAATCAAGAATTGGTCATTCGTAGTCCTTCGTTAGCTTTTATCAAAAGCAATAAAGAGAGAGAAAGACAGAAGTAGTGGAACTCTTTGCTTAATATCTTTCCGTCTTTATAAACGCTACGAGATCGTCTTTCTCGCTAAGAACAAATATGATCCATAGCTCGGTTGTAATAAAATTGTGATTTATAATCGCAAGACCATAACCCGTTGACTCGACCGTTGGGAGAAAGTGAAAGATCTCTTCGATCGTACTCGATCTGGAGCACCACGAATACTCATTGTTGAATAAGATCAAATGATGATCGACATGGCTTTCTGGGAAATGAACTTGACAACTTTGAAATTACTATTTGTGAAAGTATAATTCAACAGTGACTTACAGATGCTGATCTGAAATACTCAAAGCCTTTGTCGAAATCTTTACTTAGCAAATGGCATCAATAGCAGGGTTTGATGTGGGCGACATCAATGGAAAACTGCGATCTACTCAAAAGTACACATGACAGCGACCTGTCCAGCGAAAAGTCATTCGCACCATCAAGTGTTGTTTGAAAGTTCGTGGCTGGAGCTGTCTATCAGAAAAAAAAGGTTTTGAGCAAGTGTTTCGCTTCAGAAATCACTTGAACAGTGAATTTCTCCATCTCCAAATCAATTACAAATCGCTTACAATCTCTTGATCGCTATGAAAAGTCGTGCTCAAACATTAATAGACTCATCTGATGATAACAACCAGAAAAGTGTGCACTCACACGATAACTGCTCGTAATTCTTTCATTTATTTCAGTCACTTTTGAACTAACTCTATCACAAGAAGCAGGCTAAAAGTCGAATTTAAAGTCGTTCTGATGTCTTGTCAGTTTCTTATGAAACTTATACTGGAGATATAAGAATAAGTAGCTTCAAAATGACACATGAATCAGCTCAAGCAACTCTTTGAATGTTGAGACTGGGTCCACCTAAGTTGAAAGTAGTTTTTTACGTTTAACTTGATCCGTTTTTTAAGTCAATTGAGCTTGGATAGATGCTTGCGTTCACACTTTTTCGAACTCAATCTCTGATAAAAATTGGGTAGAAAACAGTTCAACTTTGCTTGAATTAGGGACCTTTAAAGTGGTCTCGGTCTCGTCCGGAACATAATCAGGACCATATTTTGATTTCATCGAGACTGGGACTTAAAACTTGGTAAATTGGTCATGGTATATTTTCTGTTTAAGAACTAGACTACATATTTTCATACTTATTATTTTGTTCTGGTTAAGAATCTACAAATTGACTATTTATTTATGATTACGATAGAAGTATAGATCTGTAGAATCGTTTTTTCGATCCTGGATTGAAAACAAGATCATCTTGGAGATCTCTACTAAAAATAGTAGCCATAGTTCTGCACATCATAAATATCGATACTATGAAAGTGACTCTTGAGGAAACACCGATTGAAGATCACTCATTTAGATTTTGTATCTATGCAGGAATTCTGAGCTCTGAGAGAAATTTCTAAGTCACACGACAAGAAACAAGAGAAATTTTGCATTATATATTTACTATTACGATAACAAATTAAACATTTAGCATTAAAAAGATGCATTATACATTTAATATTACAAAGATAATGTTATTTCATTTTTCTATGAAATTTATATACGTCTTTTTATGATGTGCATACATTACAAGATCATTTCAACTATTTCTAAATTTTATTTTCCTTATTTGCAATTATTATGTTTATAATGTTCCGAGGTCGAATTATCAGCGTCGATGATATCGTTTCGATCGACTCGTACATTACTATTAATACTGTGCCATCACTTACCATAACATTTATGAAAATTAAATGGTATTATATTAAAATATGGTTAAAGGATAGAAACTGGAATAAAAATTGATTATTATGTATATTCAAATAACAATAGGGTATGTTGCTTTAGAATTATCTTCTTTCACTCAGTAAAACTATAAGAATGGAAAAGTGTGCGACAAAAATTTCTTTTCATTTATTCGACATATTATTTGTAAGTGTAGTATTGATAGTCACTAACTGGAACTTTATATATGGTTTTTCGATATTGTATACATCATCTGTTCCGAATAGAGTAACTTTTTAATACATATGCATTAAACCTAATATGTTAAAGCACATAAATTATGGGGTATGTTAACTTTGTTTTCATTTATAACTATGCTATTGTGTAGTAGTGAGAGGTACCATCTTATATCACAATCCGTCAGATGACTTCGTAGGTTGATCAAAGAGACTTAACGTACTTCTTATGACGAAAGTAGCCCACCTCTTAGAACATCATACAGAAAATATCACACAACCAAACAAAAGAAATAACGAGATGTGCTCATAATAATAATAGTATCCTCAATGTATTATCAGGACCTTTTCAAACAGCACGCTCTCACTCGAGAATGTAAATGATGTTAGATGCCATATATATTTTCTAATTTTATAAAGTGTGAGTCTCACAAGCATACCTACCAATCCTACATCTACAGTCATACTCACCCCTCTTAAGTTCACACAAAACTCCATGATAGAAGTGGTAATGAAAAATCTAGTTTGAGAAGTGTTGAAGTTAGAGCAGGGTGGCATATCCTGTCAAATTTTGACATAAAGTCTAGGAATATTACTAGAGTTGATCTATTATTATCTGAAATTGTTCGGCTTAAATCTTCTACTAAGGACAAAATACGTATATGAAGTATTCTCTCCGAGATAAAGTTGAACTGTTCGTTTATGCAAGTTCCTTTATCACTGCGCCATTTAAGAATACACATGTGTATTATTCTTTTGAAACGACTTCCAAAACTAGACAGAAATGAGATTGGTTTGAACTTTTTCACTTCTGGGTATAATCCATCTTTTGATAGGCAAATCATTCTAGCGTCTTTGCTTTTCTAAAGATGCCTCATAATGCCGCAATTTTGTTTAATGGTACAGTAATAATTTGTAGGTATTTTGCTCGAAGCTGATGTGAAAAATTAGACAACCCCTCATTATCTGTAGATTTCTTATTTGTGATGGTTTCTAGTGTTTTTTTTCCAGCTTTTTCTGATGAGATATTTTCGATTGGAATATTCGGTAATTGAAAGATAGTTCATATTTTTTAAATGCATCTAAATGATTTCAGCAACCAGAGACAAATGGTGAGCTTTCAGAATTTTTTTCGTAAAAGTTCATTTTTTTGCAGCAACAATAATTTTTCATTTAAATAGATATTTTTCAAGGATAAATAATTTTCTAGGTGCTCTTGTTTTCCAAATCTTCTATAGGCTTTTCGTGTTATGTCATATTTATCTACTGGCTGTACAAGAGGTCCGTATTTTTTTGACTGGTATGTATTCATTCGCAGTACCACGCGTAGAAGAAAGAAATGAAGGGAAAAGTCCCAAGAAAGTGTCAGAAGTGAGATTATAACTAAGAGTTAAAGTAGGGGAAAACGCGTTTGAGAAAAAAAAGAATATTTTCCAGTTAGTTTTATGAAAAATATTGTTTACTCCAGTTGATAGAGGTGGTCTGATCAAAACAGGATAGTGATCAAACGACGCTTCTTTTATATCTTCAGCTTCCCAAACATATGCATTATGTGTAATCCTAAAGTCCATCACTGTAGTAGATGTTTTAGATGTTGGTTGGCTGGAGTGATCATCTTAGCACCAGTGTTATTCATCCAACTTCTCAGTTGAGATTCACCAGCATTAATTTGACTTCAAAGCCCATCAGTATGTAAAGCCCATGCACATGTGATGGCAAACGACAATATATAGTCGTTCGCCCTGGCCGTATACAAGTACTGTAACAAAACATCTGAGACATAGATAGAAGGATTTTGGCAAAAACATTCATTTCAGCAAAAAAAGAATACTAATACAACATGACATATTTTTCATCAGAGATAAATTTGAATTCTCGTAGTGCTTAGTCAACACACTAAAATGACATGTCTTGCATTCTAGATGTGTCGTGGTCTACTAACTTTATCATTTGTTCATCGTTTTGTTGGACGTATACAGCGACATATAACAAAGATGATGAAACATACTTAACTTATGTACTTTTGTACATCTTTTTTTCTAGATTAAGTCTCGACTCACTTTTAGAGCACAAAATTGTTTGATTCGGATCAAAGCGATAAGATCTTGTGACCATAACATCTTATATTCCTAGAGTAGGTACTAATAATTCCAGTTAAATTGGAAAATTAGTAATTATTCGGTTTTCCAAAAGAAATAGGAAGAGACGTGCCAAAAAGTAGATTTGGACCACGTTTCAGAATGTGTTGCAAAATATTATGCATGCAACATATTTTTTATTAGTGTGAATGCATACTGTTGTAATCATATTATAGCAAAGCAATTGATAGCGAAAAAACTGTTAATTTATTATCGTACAAAGAAAGTTTTCCGAATACATCCTGACGCGTAAAGACAAAACTTACCTTGTCTGATTTGGGTATGAATATTCTCTTCACTAACACTCACACCCTATCCTTATGTAAGAAAA